GGCCATCCTTACACAGGAAAGGCTCTAGCAGAAATGCCACTTCTGCTCAACTCTCAATGCCTATTCACTTGACCTATAACCCAAAGATGCATCAAGCTGATATTAGAAACATGGGAGTAAAGAGGAAATGAGGCTGCAGTGGCCGGATCACACGCCATTACAGAGCTGCCTCCTGACGTCAGAAAGGGTTTTTCTGCATTTTATAGTATCTATACTACTTGTCATCTCCCTATTGTTTTTTATCAAAACATACATTCAAAATAAAAGTATATTACTAAAAACATATATTTACTTCTTTTTCTTAAGACATATCTTAAAATTTTACTAATTTAGAACTCACATGCCTTATATCAACTGTTCATTTAAGCATCAGATACAGCTCTAATTTTCTAATAATTTGGGGTTAATGGGAAACACACACGGTACAGATTTTTATGGAAAGTGAATAGACGAACTACAACAAAAGTATGGAAAGGTGATCAAGATATTATTTCCATGAGATGGCATTATAACCACTCATATGAACTGTAAGAAGGAAAGAAATACACGATCCATGGGGGATGCTCGCTGACTCAGTACATCCAATCCCAAGTCCTGTGACCTTACTTAGGGTTACACTGTCTCCTCAGAGAGAGAATATGGCAAACCCACTGATCTTCTTAAATCTGGTCGTGAATATATATACATAAGAGAGTTGATTGCTCAGAGCTCCACAAAGTAACTACTACCTTTGAGGGCGGTCCAAAGAAATAAGCACTTTCTAGCAGTTGGTCCTGACTTCCCTGGGCCACATTCCTCCTTGTAAACCAAATGCTGAATCTAAATAGCACAAGATCTAAAATGCTGTCCAGATCCTTGGTTGTTCTTTAAGAGGTTTCTTTTCATGATGGTGATAGTGATGGTTTATTCTATTTGTTTATTTGCTTGTTTGCTTTGTTTTGCTTACTTATTTGTTTGTTGAAATAGAATCTGTCTAGCCAAGTATGGCTTCAAACTCATGATACTCATGATATTCCTCCAACATCCTCCCCTTTAGTGATGATATAAGAGATATGCACTATCATGCCCAGAAGTTGTTTTTGTTTTGATAAATAAGTAATCACAGTAAGGAGAAATATTACTCAAAAAATATTTAGAAATATGTCAGTGGTTGGTAATAAAGCAATTACTGAAAAACCAATAACAATAATAATTAATAATAAAGTAACATTTATTTACATAAGGTTTTTATTTAAACTAGATGTTAAAAATTTATCTCAAACTATCAGGAGAACTATTAAATATACTATTCTTGTTTTTCAGATGAGAAAACTGAGGTTTAAAAAGATTACATCACTTGATCAAGGCCTTAAAACATGTAAATTATAGAAGCCAGAATTTGAACCTACTACCAAGTAAATTTCCCATCCTAATAACCTGTGAATAATTGTGGGCACCTAAGCCAGAACTTCGCATGAAGATGTTCTGAATGACTTGTGACATAGAGCACTACTCACCACGTGATCTATGAGAGATCTAGGAAGAAATACCCTTCTTCTACCTCTTCTTCTATCTCTTCCACCCCTTCCTCCTCTTCCTCCTCTTCTTCTTCTCCCTATTATGAGAATAGTTTCATACTTAGGGAGATCTGGATTGTTTCAGAGAAAAACAAACATGGTGGATGCACAAACACTATTTGGCATGACGGAATACAATGTGCTTCATTTAGTGATCCTACATGCTCTACCTTTTAAAAACAGGCCACAGACAACTTGTTAGCTATACTGAAGAAAGGATTTACTTGAAAACTATACTTTATTACTCTTAAGTCATCAGTAAATCATTAAAAGTTAACATACATTCACAAAAGTATTTTTGATATATTAACAAGTCAATCACTAAGTACTTATTGCATTATATATATTTTTTTAAGTTAGTCTTTAAAAGAAACCCCATTTTACTCAACAGAAAAGCAGACAGTTGGATAAGTTGTAATAGTAAGTTTAAACTTCAATCTAATAACTTAAAACCTAGTGTGTTTCACCATTTCAAAAGTAAGAAACCAAAAGACTTCTGTTCGCAGTAACTTAAAGCCTAAATCAATGGGGTATGGTGACATGCAACTTTAATGCCAGCACTTAGGAGACAGGTGGATCTTGATGAGTTCGAGGCCAGCCTGGTAAGCATACTGAGTTCCAGGGATATAGTGTGAGACCATGTCCCAAACAAACAAACAAACCTAGAGAATCTGAACAGAAGCAAAGAAAAGAATATGTGTTCTCTTTGGTGTAGGGAGGGGGCTTTCATTTAAATACAAATGCACAAATTCTGGTCCCAGATTTAGAAGCCTCATTTTTGAATGACAATAGAATCCTGAATAAAAAAGAAATGCACATAAAATAAATTTAAGCCACGTTATTAAACGTGTTCACAGATAGTTATGATTATTTAGAGAAAGAGAATTGTAAAACAAGAAGAAATGAATGGAGTAACTGTAGAAAAGTCACGGCCTGGGTCCAACATGTTTTATGAAGTTAAGTCTATCATTGGGTTTTCCTTGGTGGGGGGAGGTTGTTGAAAAAAAAGAGTTTAGGTTATTTTTCATAATGTAATTCAATTCTACTAAAAGGTCATTCTCCCAATAGAAGTATGGATTTCCATGATCAACACGGAGAACTAATATAAAGAAAGCAAATAGTAACAACTGAATGTCAACACCTACTAACCAATGCATCTATAAGACTTCTTGCTGGACAGTGGTGGCGCACACCTTTAATCCCAGCACTCGGGAGGCAGAGGCAGGCGGATCTCTGTGAGTTCGAGGCCAGCCTGGTCTACAAGAGCTAGTTCCAGGACAGGAACCAAATGCTACGGAGAAACCCTGTCTCGAAAAATAAAAAAAAAAAAAAAAAAAAGACTTTTCTCCCCGGGTTCAAAATCCACGCATTTACCTTTTCCCTCCTGAAATGGACCATATCTGCAAGGACTAGAAGGTAGTAAGTTAAATTGGGAAGCAATCAAAACTGGAGTTTGGTACCAACTCCCAATGGCCTATGTGCTAAGACTCCGGGTGGCACAAGCACATCTCAGGGTTGTCAACACATGCATCCCACTCCAGCCCCACTGCCCGTAAGTGACCTACTTCTTGTGAATTCAGATCAATGTAAACACACTGTTATATTTGCTACTCAACTGCTACAAAATCAAACACAGCCTGACACTTGAATCTGATATACGTTTGCAAATCTTGAAAATACGTAGATTAAAAAAAATTCTAATTTACTTAATGACTATTATTCTAACACCGTCTTACTCTTTGCAGCAGTAAATTCCGGAAATAGGGCCTCTGAAAACTGCAGTGCTGTGTGGTCCTAGAAACACACCGCACTTCCCATGCCTTAGAAGAACAGCACATATACAGCCACTGGGTGGACACAAGAGGAAGAAGTAGGAGACAGCTTCTGGCAGCAAATTCAGTCCTTCTCAGTTTTTAAATACCAGCATTAAACTAAGCGAACACACCATGACAGACATGCTCTCTCAGGAAGACATAAAACGACTGGAGCACCTCAGACCAACCAAGAATAAAAAGCTCGCTCTTGTTGGTAAGACACAAAATTGGATTTATTTAGAAGTAAATTCTTTATTATGAAAAGTCAAGTTGCAGAAAAATAAACAAGCAAAGAAACTCTCTAAGTGAATCTAAGAACATCTCTAAGTGAATTTCTCAACTATAGTTTTTCCAAAGTTATATGATCATAAACATCCGAGAGCTACTTGCCATTTGGGCCAGCTCCTCTAAAATCAGAAATCCATAACAATGAAGCTATATCTGGGCTTTAAAAGAACTATACTCTAGGCTTTTATATAATACGCACTGAGTTGGTCACAGATATAACATTCCAGTTTAATTGCATATTAACCATATATCAACTAGATGTATATTATTCAACCTTTTGATGGTGGCCAGTGGTTTATGTCAGTAGCATATAGTTAATAGTCACTTTTGTTTCCAAAATATATTTGTATAAATGAAGTTTCTACACTTCAAAGCCAAATTCACAGAGAAAACGCCTTCTAAATCTTACTGCTGTAAGCTTGTTTTCCTGAGCTGTTATTACAGGTAATAAGAGATTTCATTCCACAGCTCCTATAATAACACAGTATAAGTTTTGCACTCATTTTTTTTCTTTAAATTCTTGTGATGGCAAAACCATTTTTCTCAAATCTGATTGGTTGTGCCTGTCTACAAGAGTGCTTAAATGTGATCCTGCTATCAAGCTTCTTGACAAGGAGGGATCTTTTTATGTCAAGTCTTTTGGATACTGAACATGACACCTTCTTGAAGAATTTTTGTTTTATTATTAAGAAATAAATGTGTCTTGCTTCTTGGCTTTCTCTGGCTTCAGCAGTTTGTAGTCATTTCCACCATAGACTAGTAAGAACATATTTCAAAGACAGGTTAACAAAGTTCAAGTTTACTTTTTATATAGTGCAGCTTCTCAGTGGCATTGGGTGAGTATCAAACATTATCAACATACTATATAGTGCCAAATAATGACCTGATTTATTTGGATGCTTGTTAACTTTCCTACTGTATTCCATGATGTTTCTAAGTTACTTTTGTAAACTAAGCTTTTGATAAAAGTTTAAACTCCTTAGTTTATTTGGTGTTTGTTTCTCTTATAGGTTTTCTTCCTTTAACACTGTACCTTTGTGCATTTTCCCACAAAGAAGTTTTGCCAACAATGCACTAAAAGTATCTCAAAATACGATGCCTATCTCATTTTCTTTCTGATTTAGCTCTCATCCTAATCTAAAAGCACCGAAGATTAAGCTCGATTTTGAGGATCCTCTAATAAGGGTATGGTTGAATAAAATTATTAACATGCCATGGTTGCCCTAGAGGTGACTCTTTGCTATTCATTTAATTTATTTTCTCTGCTTCCAAACTTGAGTTTCTTCTCATGAAAAAAATCCTTATTTTTTTCCAAAAGGCTTATGAAAATTTTGGTGAGAACATGTTGCTGCTTCAGTGCAGAAATCCAGCCTCTCTTCCAAAGCCATGTCACTTGGTGAGTACCCCACTGCCTTTTCTATTATCTAGTATTTCAAACTATAAGGTTATTAAGTGTTCTTGTAAAGACAAAACCTCACTTAAATATGTAAGATGATGTGGAAGACATGGAAATTTGCAGTCACTGTACTTCAAAGTAACCACAGAGAATTTTTTCAAGTCAAAAATAAGGGTCAATTATTACTTAGTTATGTTCTTTTAGAGGTAGAAGGGACATTAAAAGTACCAACCTAATTTGATAGGTTAGAAAAAAAGAAAATAAGTGACATTGTATGCACACAAAAGAAAATGAGGCATCTCCCTGAGTGTACAAAATCTAGAGTCACTGTGACTCTCCAATAAAGATGAAATGGGTAATTAAATGAGATGAACACCCAAAGCTTCCCAAAAGCCACGATCCGCAGCCTCAGAGACATTTAGAAAGGAGCTCCTCTACTTCCTTGAGACTGCAGCCTACACTGAACACACTTGCTTCAGCAGTCGCTTTCTAAGGAAAAGATAAAATGCATGTTTCTGTCTCTTTATGCGTATTTTTTCCTGACAAGCCCTTGAACAAATGTGCATTCATAAAGGTCAAGTCATAACAATAATAACACTGTGAAATTCTACAATTTATTTAATCAGAATGTTAATATTTATATATACATATGTTGTATATATATGTGTGTATATATGTATAAGTGTGTATGTATGTGTGTATATAAATACTGAGGATACAATATCTTAGAAAACTTCCAAGTCCTAATTTTTGAAGTACACATCCGTTGAAACCAAGAGTATGTACAATGAATGTGGTTGGATCTCACCCCATCCTTCTAAACCAACTTGGAAGGGAAACACTCAGAATCATAAATACTATGGTTTTTCAGGTTTTAAACTCTGTTAAGTCTCCCCTCATTCCTCTCCTTGTCCCCTTCTCCCCTTCTCCCCTTCTCCCCTTCTCCCCCTGCGTTCCCCCACACACCCATCTTTTTTTCTTTATCTGACTTTGGTAATTAATATACACTAGTTAACATAAAACTATGGTAGAATCCCTTTATACTTCTGAACTCTCCTTGGTAGACAAGTAAGGAAGCTAGTCCCTAACTGCAGAATGCCCATAAGCTAGTCACTAACTAACTGTAGAGAACCCAAAGCATAATCATTTTGCTGTCCCAAAATAATATTCCGTTTCATATTCTAGGTACCAAATGTAAAAATGGTGATTCTCCTGTTTCTGCTGGGTCTGCTTGGTAACTCTGCTGCCATGCCTGTGAGTGTTTCCTTTTATGCTGGACATTTTCTTTGTGATCTGTTGTTGCACCGCTCTGGGCAGCTGGCAGCTTATTTCAGCTAAGGCTCTGCATTTCTCCCTCAGTTCCAGATGCCAATACCCCGAATGCCTGGATTTAGCAGTAAAAGTGAAGAGGTATGTATTACACTCTGTGCTTGGGGAGACATGTGCCAGAGCCCTAAGGAGATTATTGGTACTTGGTTTAGAATATAACATTTCTTATGAAGAGGTAAAAGGAGGGAAAACTCAAAGTCTTGCATTCAAATCAAAGCAAAATTATTCTCCCCTATAAGTCTACTTATGAGCTTCAGTGTCCATTTAGGTTAAATTTTAGCTGTTAGCTTTGGAGTTCTTTTTGTTCACTTGTAAAGAGCCATTTGTACCGGGGAGTGTTACAAAGTAAATACCTGCAACACAATTCAAACTAGCTGTCATCAGTCAAACGCCATGCACAGAAGGAACAGGAATTTTTGCATGTTTGCTTTCTTGGGTTTTTATTTTATTTTGTTTTTGAGACAGAGTCTCTCTATTATAAAGCCTTGGCTGCCAGAGAACTCACTATGTAGACCAGGAGGGCCTCTAACTCACGTAGATCCACCCACCTCTGAAAGGGCTGGCATTAGAGGTGTGTGCCACCACACCCAACCCAACAGGTATCTTGTTCTCAAATCCTGAATTCCAAATAAACAGAATGCTCAAAATCTTCAAAGTAACTTATGTTTATTTTCTGCTATTCTATGTTGATCTTCAAAGTAAATTTTGGGGTTTTTATCTGTTACACTATATATTGATTCAACATGAAGTTTGACTTCAAATTCAGAAATTCAGGGGCTAGGGATGGCTCTGCTGGTAAAGAGCTTGTGGAGCAAGCATGAAAACCTTAGTTTGATCCCTAGGAACCCCATAAAAAGCTGAGTTTGGTGACACTCACTTGTGATCCCAGCACTGGGAAAGGGAAACAGGAGGATTCCTGGAGCTCACTGGCTGGCCAGTCTACCCAAACCAGAAAGTCCCAGATAGCAATGAAGCTCTGTCTCTAAACAAAACACTGATAGCTCCTAAGGAACATTAGATGAGATGCTGGCTTCCATATGCACACAGATGTACACATATACAAAATTGTACATAAGGCATAGGAGAGATGGCTCAGTGGTTAAGAGCACTGATGTCGTTCCAGAGAATAGGGACTGGATTTCCATCACCCGCATTAATTGTCTGTAACCTATAACAGGGTCAGGGAATCACCCCCTCTTCTGGTTTCTGTGGGCACCAGATTCCTATGATGCACAGACATATATGCAGGCAAACAACCTTATATATTAAATATTGAAATTTTTGAAAGAGCTATGCACAAGCAAAAAAATTATATACTCTAGAATTTTTAATAAATATAAGTTTTAAACTCATAGAATTCGCAAAAGAGATTGATTATTGCACCTTCAGATTCTAAACTTCTATCTTAAGCTTTGTGAACTAATTGAATAAAAGTTTTTCATTTTGTGCTATATTAATGGATTCCTTTAATTTCAGATGATGCGATACAGTCAATTCAACTTTATGAATGGCCCACATGTAAGTTTTCTTTATATTATTTCTGAGACTTTCATGTTTATATCCAGAATCTGTGTTGCTTATCTTAGCTTGAGTGCTGACTACCATCCATGTGTCTTAGTTACAAGATAACCATTACAACAAATCATTTCACTTGTTCCCTAGTGACAAATATCGTCCTTATTCATTTTATTGTGTTTTTTTATAAATGAGCATCATCTTTATGTTTCTTAGAACACTTGGTTCTGACTCATGTTTACAGGAGCTATTTTCACAAGTCATGACAACAAAAGCAGTATAGTAAATACTATTAGAAGAAAGAATTCTATTTGTGTTCTCTAAAACAATACTAAAACTGTGAATTCTTTTATTTTGTTGGAGTAAACATGGGTTATTCTTGTGGTGGTGGTGGTGGTGGTGGTGGTGGTGGTGGTGTATACTAATTTGTTTGTTTGTTTTGTTTTTTGAGACAGGGTTTCTCTTTGTAGCCCCAACTGTCCTGGAGTTCAGAGATCCACCTGCCTCTGCCTCCTGAATGCTAAGATTAAAGGCGTGTACCACCATCACCTGACTTGTGTGCTAAATTTCAGAACAAACTAAACCATGAGGTCAGCTGATCTCTGACAAAACTGTGTGACTGCCCAAAATCACAAATCACTTTGTACTTTTGTGGCATTATTACAGACTTCATTAACTTTGTCTAAATCCTTTCCATTCAGTAGTCATCTTGTAAAGTCTCTACCTAAAGTAATCATAATCAAAGTTCTCCTAAACCTCTGGTTCTTACTGTTTCAGTGTCTATGAGTTGACATTTTCGCTAATGTAAAAACCTGATCTGTTTCAAGGGTTTTGTGTATTTGGTGTTTGGTTGGTTCGAGAGTGTTATTTGAGTTTTGTTTTTATTTTCCTTTCTCTCTCTATCTGGCTTTATATATAGCAAGTCACATGGGTTTTGAATTTGACATAATTTCCCATAAAAATCTGTGAACTAAGAAAAACAAAAATTCTCAAGCTTGAAGTAGTGGTACATCCAAAAAACTCTCTACACTCCGGATTTCAGAGTCAGAAAGATTGCTCTTTCTGTATGTATGAGTGTACACAATATGTGTGCATGTGTATGAAGGTCAGAGAACAACTTAGGGCATCAGTTTCCGCCCTCCACCTTTCTGGAGACAGTGTCTCTCTTTGTTGTTTGTACTGCATATACCAGACTAGAAGCCCATGAGCTTCCAGGGATTCTATTGTCTCCATCTCCCATCTTACCATAAGAACACTAGGGTTACAGATCATGCTATTGCATCCAACTTTGCATGCATGGTTTCGAGTGATCCAAACTCAGGTTCCCACGTTCGTGTGCTAAGCACTTTGCCCACAAAACTATCCTCCAGCTCATCGAGCTCTTAAACTGAAATTTCTTAAATCTCATTTTGATTAGTTTGACGGGCTTTCTAGAAAACTGAAGAGTCCTTCAGTAACACAAAATATAATGAAGTTTTCACTAAAGCCCTTAGAATCAAATTCCATTGGAAGCGTTTAGGCTTCTTGACTTGGTTTTGGAAGCTTACATTTAGAAGGTGAGAAGAATCTGGACCTCAGCCCTCATTTGATGGCACTGCTTTTGCTTCTCTTTCAGATGATGCCTATGGGCCCATATGGGAATGGTATGCCAATCCCTCCACACATGCCCCCGCCGTACCCTCCATACCACATGCCCATGTGGCCTCAGCCACCCAATGGATGGAATCAACCCCCAATGCCCAATTTCCCAAGCAATACTGATCAAACCCAGGAGACTGCCAAGCCCAACCAGACCAATCCACAAGAGCCACAACCACAAAGGCAGCCTCCAAAGGAGCCACCAAATGAAGCAGCACGGGCCAAAGAGGAAGCCCAGGTGAGACTCGACTAGAAAACTTCCACATCAGAGGCTTACAATGCCTTTAAAAAGATTTAGAGGGCCATACCTTTCCAGCATCCATGCTCCCTCCAAAATTCACTACAACTATTACTGTGTAATTTTGACATTTATCAGAAGTTTCCTGGCAGGTCGATTCCAATCTTATTTAGTTCAAAATAACATAAATATTGTTGCCATAAATATCCTTCTAAAACACAGAATCAAGCTGTGAGTTGTGGAACATGCCTACGATTCTAGAAATATGAAGGTGAGGTGGAATCATGACTAGAAGGCCACCTTGGCTATGTGGTGAAAAAAATCTTTAAAAATAAAAAAATAAATAAAATGTAATACAGAGTCAGAAAAAAAATACCAAGCTCTACCCCAGCCTCCATTAGTCACACAATGTTGAGGAAGTCTCCTAGCCTTTCTAGACATGTTTCCCCATGAATAAATCAAGTGGCTTCTAAAGCATTTCCAGACCTATGCTTTGATGATATGTAATATTCTTCTGTGCTTTCTGTCTGCCAGATGAGTCAAGTGTAGCCATAATATAAGGCAAGAAGATATACACATGGTTTCTCCAGAGATCCTGCTATTATCAAACTTCAGAAATCATGGCTTTGGTTCTTTATTATCACGAACAGTTTTATATATATAAGGAATGCAGAAGTGAAAAAACAGACTCCTAGGTTCAGTCACACCTCTGCCATTCAGGGCCACTAACTTCCCTGAACCTCAGTGCAGCTTCTCAATGACAGTAACAACAGTGCATGGTCATGTGAGGCCTAAAGGAGTTCCATAATCTACTGTTGCTGGAATATGATGTTTAATCATACTGATCACTACCATCATCTACACCCAAAATATGTAGCGGGAGGAGGGATCGAGTGAGGTAGGAGAAAAAGAGACAGTGGGAAAGAAAGAGACAACTAATGCAAACAAAAATATAAGCGCTCTCTGGGTTTCAAATAATTATTATCATTTCTTTCATTTCTCATTTTCGATCTCACTACCAAGTAACTCTAACTTGTCTTTCTTTCTAGCCATTCCCACCATTTGGCAATGGGCTTTACCCCTATCAACAACCACCATGGCCAATTCCACAGGTAAGAATTTTCTATGTATTGCAAATTAAATATAATGTTAGCATGTGACACATAAGACTAATACAAATTCATATACTATAGTATACCAGTAATAAAATCAAGTTAGTAATTATTCAGAAAAATTATTTTAAAAATTAAGTAAAAATTTTTTATCAGACCAGTTGGCAACATGAGCAGGGCCTAATCACTACTACTAATAACACAAATTTTTTAAAATAAATTTTTTTTATTTATTTCACACCCTGGCCACAGTTTCCCCTCCCTCCTCTCCTCCCCCTGTGTCCTCCCATCTATTCCTCTATTTTTATTCAGAAAACGCAGTCTTCCCATGGATCTAATAACATAAGTTAACAAATTAATTTTTAACGGTTGTGCTATAATCCTGTCACATAAGAAATAATAATGTCTTCAATGAAATCATAATTTAATATCATAGCAAACCTGACACAAGAGTTTAAAACTAAGAAACAAGCCATGACTACATTATAATCTCTCCATCACATCTTTTCCCTAACAACAGATATGTTTTTATAAAGAATTTTACAAAGTAATTCTCAAAGAGTTCTTAAAGTTTAAAATTAATCATTTAATTGTGTGTTTGTGTAGGCGTGCACATGTGGGGGGATGTATATGTCTGCGTATTATGTTGCTTGCCAGCCTGTCTAACCAAAGACATGAACTCCAAATTCTGTAAGACTCACTACCTCTAAAATAAGGTAGAGAGTGGTTGAGGAAGACAGTTAGATTTGGCTCTGCCCTCCACCCCTAGAATTATAGATGCACACCACCACACCCATCTTTTTTCGGGGGGGAGGGGAGCTGAGAATCTGAACTTGGATCCTCAGGTTTGCATGGAAAGCATTTTACCAATTGAGCCATCTCTTCAGGCCCTTATAATGGCACTTCTACACATACATATTCTTGTCTCTTATTTCTTCTCCTCACCCACTTTCTCTTCTTGGCTCCTCTGTCAACGATCCCCTTCCTTCCCTTCCTCGCTCCCGAGTTCCTGTTTTTGCTTTCATAACAGGCACTTTTCCTTACTCTCTCTTCCTCCCTCCCTCTCACTTCCCGTAAGATCTCTTCATCCCCTCTCATGGTCCTCTACTTTACTGAGCTGCACAAACACACATAAGCATACTATACACAAACAACCCAGAGTCCACAATTACCAGAAAATGTGGAATTTTTCTTTTTAAATATGCCTTACTTTGTTTAACATAATGATCTCTAGTTACATACATTTCCTGAAAATGTCATTATTTCACTTTTCTTTATGACTGATTGAAATTCCTGTGTAAATGTGCATTTTCTTTACCCATTCATCTGTTAATGGCTATTTAGACAGGTTCCCTTGTTAGTCATTGTGAATAATGCAGCCTACAAACACAGATGTTCAAGCATCACTGTGGTATGGCATCACTGACCTAAGAGACCTTGACGTGGAAGTCCAGAAATGGTACAGCTGGGTCAAACAGACAGTTCTATTTTTAGTTCTTCTAAAAATAGTCTTTAGTGACTTCCACAGCAACATCCACAGTGACTGAGTCATGACATCACCACTGCACTTCCCAGGATTCCTCTTTCCACGTGTCCACGACAGCATTTCTTAGCATTTGTTTGTTGGAATGATGACCATTCAGACTGTGTTGAGAAAGAATCTAAAATTAGTTTTAATTTGCAATTCTCTGATAGTTAAAAGTGTTCAATACTTTCTCAAATGTTTATTGACCATTGTATTTCTTCTTTTGAAAACTGCCTCTCCACTTCACTTGGCCTTTCACTATTTCTTTTAGGGTTCAGTTTTAGCAGTTTTCTCTATAGTCTAGCACAGTTAGCAACAATCCCTTCCCGTACTGTAAACTGTTTCTTCACCCTGGTGATTGTATCCTTTGTAGAAACTCGTTAATGTTCTCTAACCCTCTTATTTTTCAATTCCTGGGATTCTTTATTGTGCTAATGAAGTCTATGAGAAAGTCCTTACATATGCCTACATCTTCAAGTGTTTTATCTGTGTTTTCCTTTATTAGCTTCAAAGATACAGGTCTTATATTTAAGCTCTTGACTCATTTTGAGTTGGTTTTGGTGTAAGGTGAGAGATATGGATTTAGTTTAAATCTTTTATAGGTGAATATTCAGCTTTACTGACACCATTTGTTTAAAATGCTGACTTGCCCAATGTGTGTTTTTGACACCTTTGTGGAAAATTAAGTATTTGTAGCTGTGTGGGTTTATTTCTGGGTTTGTTTTTTTCTATTCCACTGGCATACATGTCTGTTTTTGTTCAAATGCCATACTAGCTTTGTTACTATAGCTCTGTACTATACAAAGACGCATCCAGTATCATGATTATCACCAGAATTTCTCTTTTTGTTTAGAATTCTTATAGTTATTTCAGTCCTTTGTTCTTTCATGAAATTTTAGAAGTTTTTCTATTTTTGCAAAAGATATAATTTTGATGTTAATTGAACTGGATATATAGATCATTTTTAATAATATGAGCATTTTTATAAATTTGAGTTTGATAATTCACATACATGGGAAGCCTTTACTTTTCATGTGTGAGCCTTCAAAATTAGTTAAGAAAATTAACTCTAAATGTAAACAAAGCATGGAAAATATCACTATTTAATCTCATATTGTTATGTGTTCTAATATGGATAACTGGAGTCTACTATCACTCAAATGTTAATCTCTCTCTCTTTCTAAGATAGTGAGGTACGGTGATTGATGGCTAAGACATGTGGGTATTTTTAGTAAGATAACCTAGGATCTTGTTGAAGTCTGACAAAAATAGTACTCTCTAATGGATCGTAAGTATCAATAGGTAGATAGTGAGTCTAAAGTCTCATGAGCACAACACTCACAGTATTAAACACCATTAGTAATGAACCAGTTTAACACAACTCCAGTCTTACAAAGGCTGAGGAGAGAGCTCAAGGGGTAAAATGTAAAGTGCTTGCTGTGTACGCATGAAGATTTGAGTTCAGATCCCCAGAACCCTCACTGGAAAAAAGTGGTATGCATAACCCCAGTCATGGGAAGAGGAGAAAGGAGAATCCCAGGGCTTGCTGACTCAGCTACTCCATCCAACCAGCAAGCTCCAGGTTCAATGAGAGATCCTATCTCAAAAAATAAAGTGAAGGAGGAAAGACAAAGATATCTAACATTAACCTCTAGCCTCCACATACATGTACACATGCACACGTGAAAACAAACACATGTACATACACACATACATATCTCTAGTCAAGCTTAGTAGAGCACATCTGTAATCCCAGTACTCAAAAGGCTGAGGCAGGAAGACTGCCATGAACTCAAGGTCAACCCAGCTACATAGTGCATGTATATAAAGCAATGTATGTGCTATAAAGCAAGACCCTGTCTTAAAAATTTAAAAAAAAAGGAAAAGAAGAAAGGAAAGCAAAATGATTTCTTCCTATGTTCATTGTGCTTTTCATCTTTCAGAGGGGACCACCACCAGCATTTGGACGTCCAAAATTCAGCAATGAAGAAGGAGTAAGTAGGAATGACGCTATTACCTCAGTTAGGATTTACAGTATATCAGCTGTTATCATTTATTCTGATGTTACAAGAACTTAAAAATCTATCATAAAAAAATTCTCTAACTCAAATTCCTAAAAAAAATTTAAGTGGAATAAAAATCAAGGCAATAATCTAAATAAGCTTGATACATCATTGGGCATAGCAATGCATGCCTATTGTCTCAGCACAGGAGACAGATACACAGCCTTGCTTCTAAACCCAGCACCATGTCCATGGGGCAGTACTTCCTCTACATGTATTGAAAGTTTGCTTATATATTGGCTGTGAAAACTATTGGCCTCTTTGCAAAGTTGATAGCAAACTCTAGACAGTAGCATACACAGAAAGAAATTAAGATCATCTTAAAATATTCCCTTCACCGGAAACTGCATTATCACCTAAATATCTCATTGTACAAATACTGAAATCCAGAGAAAATAAATTACTATTCAATTTTTCCTCTTCAGTTACAGGATAAACTGGACTAAACCTAAGTCTTATATCTTTTTTAGTATACTCCAAGAAAGTAATCAAATATACCCAACCAATTCTTAGTATGTCATCAAATAAACTACTTTAGAGGTTGTTAGTCTACCCCTGGACTTCCCTTACTCTTTTCCCCTATATATGTGATATGCATCCAGTAAAAGCAGAAACCAATACCTTTTTTGGAGGAGAACGGAATAAGGTGTTATTAAAATAATGACAATGAAATTATTATTTCAATGATAGCACAGAATGCTTTTTTAACTCACTATAAAATACCCAGATGGGAGTGATGCAGTTCATTGTATACATCTTCACCTAGAAACTAGAACTTCAGAGTTTCATATACAACATTAGCAAGTGAAACAGAGTAATACAAGCATTAACACAGGCACTAAATCTGTATTCTATCTTTTGGGTACACTGTTCAACTTCCTGTGTGTTACTAGAAATATTTTCTCACCTATATATTTCATCATCCCATCCCAAAAATAGAATAAAACTATTTTCCTCTCTATCCTATTTGTTTTCAAAGAAAAACTAGGGCTGGGAATATAGTTCAGTAGTAGAATACTTAATTAGCATGCCTAAGGTCTTTGATTTAATCACCAGTACAGGAGGGAAACTAAAGAACCTAAATGATACACAAATGACTTTAAAAAAAAATTATACAGGCTATTCACTTAATTGAAAATTATTAAGCATTCCCCACTGTTATAGAAACTAGAATATCAAAAACAGTATTTTTACTCAAAAACTTTACATAGCAAAATCAAATGGGAGGACTCCAGAAAAATAAACAACTAAAATTCACTGTAAAGATGATTACAGCAGAAGGCTGTATTGCTGCAGACATCCAGCAGCAAATCCTAAGCCTGGCTCTGCTAAGGGAAGTCAGGGCACAACTGTGGCACTCCAGCTGAGTCTTAAAGGATAAGTCAAGTATGTTGGGGAGGATAAGTGCATAGGAGAGAAGAGGTTAGATAAGAAGAAGTCATGTGCAAGGCCTCAGAGAAATAACAGTAGATAGGGGCTGGAGAGATGGCTCAGTGGTTAAGAGCACTGCCTGCTCTTCCAAAGGTCCTGAGTTCAATTCCCGGCAACCACATGGTGGCTCACAACCATCTGTAATGAGGTCTGGTGCCCTCTTCTGGCCTGCAGGGATACACACAGATAGAATATTGTATACATACATAATAAATAAATAAATATATATTTTAAAAAAAAGAAATAACAGTAGATATAATTTGCAACCACATCAAGTTTAAGGAAGAGAAAATAAGGTTAAATGTCATGGTCATAGCTCAGATGATTGTAAAAATTTTAACATTTTTATTATAATCGCAGCATTTATTAGATGCAAAATTCCAGATATGAAGACATATATAATATATACATATATTATCTTTTGACTTTCATGAAAAGTTGTTTAGTTTCTACTATTCTATTATTATCTTCATATTACAAATGGACAAAGAGAACTTAGTCAATCATCACATCACAGAAAGTGATAAAAAGAGACTATGATCCACATCTGTCTGTCAATAAGACATACTGCGTTCCTTGTTATGCTAAAGGATTTAGAGTTTATCCTTTAAGATAAAGGCAACTTTAAACAAATATTTAAAAAGGAAAATGTTGTAATTCTCCAAAACTCATCCCTAGTTTCTCCTACTCCAGAGGGGTGAATATGATGCACACAGTAGCGAGTAAGAAAGCTACAATATTTGAGGAGTAATGGGCACAAAGGGAGACAGGACAAGGATGAAAGTTTAGATACAATGTTTGGACTTGGTAATCATTGTCTGGGGAAATAAAAGAAAAAGAAGAATCTGGGAGAACTGGGTTGGGCATAGAAAACATTCCTTAGATGTGCAATATTGGAGAATGGCCTCAGTGGGGAGATGAACTAGTTATGAGTGTGTTCATTTGGAAGAGTCTGAAGCCTTAAAAACCTGTGGGACAGGCTTTTCCTTTGTGAGGTAAAAGCATGTATCCATATTCAAAGTTCTGGCATGTAACCGATTCCTCGACAACATAGATGTGTAAAACAAGAACATGGACATGAGGATGAGAAGGATGGAATCAAAAAGAAAAACTGCCAATCATTATGTCCCACCTGGAATCCTAGTACTCTGAAGGCCAAAACAGGGGGATGATCACAAGTTTAGGGCTAGATTGATCTACATAGCAAGTTACAGGCCAGCCAGGGTTATATGATAAACCTCTGCCTCAAAACAAATAACTAGATACAATTTTAAGAATTATAAATGTTAACCTGGACATGGTAGCTCATGTGTGTAACAGCATTCAGGAGGTTCAATTTCTAAAACTCAAGGCCTGAGTGAAGAGTAAGACAGTGAGATCCTACGTCAAAAATGGGTTTTAATCCTAAGGTTCAGGATCTGGGCCTAATGGCTAGAGAGAATATTCAGCACCCAGAGAATAGAATGGAAGCTTCAAACTTCTAGAAAGAAAGTGTAGGTTGTAGTGTTACGAGAAGCCAGCATAGGAGGCTTCCCTGTTGCACTAAGCAATTAAAATCAACACTACAGGAGGAAACAAAAAATAATTCTCCTTCTTCTTTCTTACAGAACCCTTACTATGCATATTATGGGTATCACGGCTTTGGGGGTCGTCCTTATTATTCAGAAGAGATGTTTGAAGATTATGAAAAACCCAAAGAAAAAGATCCTCCTAAACCAGAGGACCCACCCCCAGACGATCCACCCCCAGAGGCCTCTACTAACTCAACTACGCCAGAGGCTAACTCCACTCAGTCAATTCCTGGAGAGACTCAAGGCGGAAATGAAACTAGCCCAACTGGGAACAGGGGACCTGGCCCAAATGCTGGGAACAACCCTACAGTTCAAAATGGCGTCTTCCCTCTCCCTAAAGTAAATGTTTCAGGCCAAGGAGCATCAAGAAACCAGATTCCGTGGAGACCAAATCAGCCAAACATTTATAAGAATTATCCCTATCCGAATGTGCGAAATTATCCTTCAGGAAGACAATGGCAAACCACTGGTCCCATGGAGCCCAAAAAGAACGGACCTGGGTATCAAAACCCACCAGTACAAAGGGGTCCTCAGTGGAATTCCTTTGCTTGGGAAGGTAAACAAACTACTCCTCCAGGAAATCCAATTTACCGCAAACCTTCCCCTCCTTCTTCAAGAGTCAATTATCCCAACTCTGCAGGAAATCCAGTAAATTTTGGAAGAAAATCTCCCAGGCCAAACAAACCCTTCGTGGGAACCAATCCGGCCCCAAATAAACCCTTTATGGGAACCAATCCGGCCTTAAATAAACCCTTCGTTGGAACCAATCCAGCCTCAAATAAACCCTTTCTGGGAACCAATCCGGCCCCAAATAAATCCTTCATGGGAACCAATCACGCCTTAAATAAACCCTTCATGGGAACTAATGCAGCTTCAAATAAACCCTTCATGGGAACCAATCAAGTCTTAAATAAACCCTTTATGGGAAACAATCCAGCCCCAAATAAACCCTTTCTGGGAACCAATCAGGCCTCAAATAAACCCTTTCTGGGACCCAATCAGGCCCCAAATAAACCCTTCATGGAAACCAATCCGGCCCTAAATAAACCATCTATAGGAACCAATGCTGCCTCAAATAAACCTTTTGTGAGAACAAACATGGCCTCAAATAAACCGTTTGTGAGAAACAATGCTGCCTCAAATAAACACCCTGTGGGAACCAATGTGGCCTCAGTGGGTCCTAAACAGGTTACTGATAGTCACAATGTGAAAACCCAAAATCCAAAAGAAAAGTCACTAGGTCAAAAAGAAAGAACAGTCAGCCCTACAAAAGATACAGCTAACCCCTGGAGAAGCTCTCAACAATATGGAATTAACAAACCAAATTATAATTTGCCTCGCCCTGAAGGTAGCAGGGTCAGCCCAAATTTTAATTCTTTTGATCAACAAGAAAACTCCTACTTCCCAAGAGAAGATTCCAGAAGAGCGTCAAGTCCCAAAAGACAAATCCAAAACCAGAATCTTCCCAAAGGAATAGCTTTAGAGCCAAGAAGAACCCCATTTGAATCAGAAACTAAGAAACCGGAATTAAAGCAGAGTACACACCAACAGCCTGCATATCCTAAGAAAACCCCTTCTAAAAGAGAACATTTTCCTGTTGAGAGAAAAATCTGGAATCGGCAAGAAATCATTCCACCCTTAAAGGAAGATCGTGGGAGGCAGGAAGAAATTTTACCTTATCCTTCCTATGGCTCTAGAAGAAATATATTTTACCATGACTATAACAATCCTTATTATCCTAATGAAAACTCACCATACATTAGAAGTAATACATGGAATGAGAGGATTACCTCTCCCAGTACCCTGGGGCAACCAGAAAATCCACAGTACCCCATGAATTCTCTAGACCAGAAGGAGACAGAGCAGTATAATGAAGAGGATCCAATAGACCCAAATGAAGATGAACTTTTTCCAGGACAAAGTAAATGGGGTGATGATGAGCTCTTCAAGGGAAGACCAACAGTTGGGCAGTACGAAGGCAATAAATATGCCTCAACCCTACCAAAGGAATACCTTCCCTACTCCCTAGGGAATCCAACCAAGGAACTTTTTCCTTACAATGAATTCTATCCTTGGAGCCCACAAGAAAATTTCCCTATATATAATCCAGGTCCTACTATAGCACCACCTGTGGACCCCAGAAATTATTATATTGATAATGCCATAGGACAAGAAGAAAGCACGCTCTTTCCATCATGGACTTCCTGGGACCACGGGAATCAAGCACAGAAGCAGAAAGAAAATGAGCCGTATTTCAACGGAAATGGCTGGGGTCAGTCAACGAATCTACTACACAAATCTCATATACCAAGCCAAGAGAGGAACCATCCTTATTCCACAAACTCCCCTGCTGGACTTCCAAAGGATCCAGCATGGCTTGAAGGTGAGAATTTGAACTATGATTTACAAATTAGTAGCTTAAGTCCACCAGAGAGAGAACAGTTAGCTTTCCCAGATTTCGTTCCTCAAAGTTACCCATCAGGTCAAAATGAAGCACACTTATTTCATCAAAGTGAGAGAGGTTCCTGCTGTATTGGTGGATCCACGGGACACAAAGACAATGTGCTGGCTCTACAAGATTACACTTCATCCTATGGTCTTGCACCAAGGGAGAACAAAGAATCCAGTCCTGTGCATACAGAAAGTAGTTATACCAAGTATGCAAGATCTTATGTCTCCCCAACAAGCATCCTACCTAGTCAAAAAAACATCTCAGAGAATAAACTAACTGCAGAGAGTCCAAACCCAAGTCCTTTCGGAGATGGCGCACCTGCTCTGAGAGGGAACACACCATATGCTGGAAAGAACCAACTGGAAACAGGAAGTAAGGCCTTTCCTGAAGCCAGCTCTCCTCAGCCAAAAGACACACCCTGTCTTAAAAGTGACCTTGGAGGAGATCGGAGAGACGTTCTGAAACAATTTTTTGAAGGCAGCCAGCTCAGTGAAAGAACTGCTGAACTTACCCCTGAACAGCTCGTTATCGGTATCCCTGACAAAGGCTCTGGCCCAGACAGCAAACAAAGTGAAGTCCAAGGGAATGAGGGCGAGATGCAGCAGCAAAGACCACCTACCATCCTTAAGTTACCGTGCTTTAGCTCCAAATTAGCAAAGCTTCGCTCTTCAAGCACTGAACCTCCAACCAACAATGGAAAACAAAGTGGTGCTCTCTCGACACCTACTGAAAATCCTACCACATCAGTCGGGTTACCTACAAGAGAACAATTTAAAAGTATAAATGTAGATCCAGTGAATGCAGATGAACACACTATATTTGAAGCTTTTCAAGGAACCAGTCAAGAGGACCAAGGACAAGGCTGCTTACTGCTTCAGGCTTAGGGATCACTTCCACCGAGCATTCTTGGGGCATGAAAACAACTAGCAATCCTATGTCAATGATTCTGTAACTTTGTTCCCTAAGACTTGATTTTCTGGCCTTCATGATGATCCCTGATCTTTTACCCTCCCCACAGTAGAAATAGGGCCCAGGTAGAATTAGTGAGAGCGGGCCTTTGGGGCTGGCTGGATCCAGCACTGCAACAAATTAGTGCACACTGAAGAAAAAGCATGAAGGCCATGACCATTCCTTCCTTGGAACTTGGAAGCTATTTGTCTGATTGTCTGAGTTAATTTCCTCTTTCTAGATAATGTATCATCCATCTTCTCTCAAATTCCTTACAATGTTGTCTGGTTCTGCACATCTAGCAGACTGTAGAGTCTTCCATTTCATATAGAGGCCTGCAACCAGTGTAGTCCTGATGCACTGTATACTTTCCCCTTCGTGTTGTTTTTGTCCACTCTCTCTCCTAGTTAATATTACCTTTGGCATTTTTTTCTACTGTTCTTTAACTCATCTGCCTCCTCTTTTCTCCTTCAATCTTCTCTTTCTCCTTCCTTCTCAATAGAGCTTTCACTGTTTCCTCACCATTCTGCCTTCATCACTTCTCACATTCTGAGGTAGCTATCGTTGACCATCGTCAGTCTGTCTGTCCTATCTCCTAGTGTGTAACTTTGATCTTTTACCAATGAATCTTTCCTCTCTGACTCTTTTTCTCCTTAAGTTCCTCGTTTTTCCTGCTGTGTATGCCATCTGCATGCTTTCAGACTATGCATCACCTTCACTCTCTTTGGACCTACTCTGTAAGTTCTACTCTCTAGTCTCTTTCTCAGTCAAACCATCACTGTAGATAACATGCCTGAAGGAGCTACTTTCATTGTTAATTTTCTCCTGGTCTCTCAATGTAGACAGCCTGGTTAAAAGAGCCTATTCTAGGAGAACAGAAGATGGGCTAGTTACCAGATCATAGGGCTTAGGAAAGTGGAAAACGAAGAGAAGAAATTGTTACTTGGGGACTGAGTATCCAGGAAAAAAGAGACTAAGGCTTGCTATACCCTATCACCAATTCACAGCCTCAGGGAACTGAAGAGGCCCACCTGGGGAAAGACCAGCTTATGCAGATAAAATATGCAACTCTTAGCTTTCTTTACTAGTTCAGTATAAATTATTGCACCACTACATATTATGACTATCATGCTTATGCTTCACGTTCCTATAGATTATTCACAGACACAACTTCCAGGTATCATAACGAAATAGTGTAAATTATTTTGTAAAGTAGATGTTTCTATATTGTCTTGCTTAGAATATATTTGAGTTATATTGATATTATTTTTACTGTTATTAAGGCATTTTGGCCTGTTATCTGGATATTGCCTGTTTTGAGTCTGGGGGTAAAAAAATCTCTAAATTACCTACAAAGTTATTTTCTATTCCCAAGGTGTTTCTTAAAGGACTTTTCTTGTGACAGATTTTGTATGCCCTCAGAAATTTGATGAAATTCTCCTGAGAAAGGGAATCAATCAGCCCTTAAATCTAGTAAAATGTCTTACCAATAGGAGATTTCCAATAAACATTTACTGGTTGGCTGGCTTCTGAATGCCTTTAATCATTCCCACTGCCACCGGCTCTTCCTGCGGGAGATGCGTGAGGACTCTTAATAAAGCACATGTCTTCTAGCCTTGTGCCCAGCAGTACTCACGTGGGACAGCTGCAGACTGTGCCACCCTCTGACGGCTTAACTTCCTCCCTAACCCACCAGCCTTATACTTTAACCATAGATTAAAAACCAAAAGCTTATTATTTTCCTCCAAACTTTGATGTGAATACCAAATGTATTTCAACATAATGAATGGGTGGTACAGTTGTTTTGGTAAATATTGTCATGCCAAGAGTAATGAGCTCAGGGGACAGCAGTAGAAGTATTTACCAAAACAGAACTGATAGAAAAGTTTTAATAAGGAACAGACACTGTGGAGAGAAACACAGTGGGCAAGGTCTCATAGGCAGAGTCCCACCTGTGAAAGGGAGCAATGAGAATTGAGAGAAGTCACCTGAGCTCCCCCTAAGCCATTCCTGTCAGGTCACCTCTGAACAGAGTAAAGATGCAGCTCACTGTGATCTTGGGGTAGTTAATTTAATATAATATCATTTGCCGCCTTGGGGTAAGGTGCCAGGGACCACTAGGAATGGGGCTGATATAAGGTGCTATAAGTCACTGGGCCTCGTTCTAAGCAATGATAACCTGAGTGCTACAGAGTGAGTAAATTTGCTCTTTGGGGGCTTTACTTTTGGCCTTTTTGTGGGTTTTTTATTTAATTTTTTATTGATTTGTGGTAGTGATAGTGACTTTTAATTTTTTCCCTTTGGTTTTGGTCTTTTTGTCTCTATAAATATGTTGACACATCTGTATCTGTGAGATATTGCTACTGTCATCTGTAATGTAAGTGTAAAGAGCATAGAGTGACCAAAAGCAAATCTGTTCAGCTTGAGAATAAAATAAAAAAGGATAAAAATTTCCCTGTAGATGAGCACAGGGAGGCTTGCTTCTACAAGCCTGCCTAGTAGGCATGTGTTCCTTGCATTAAATGTATTGTTCATTCTGTGTCCTGCTTAAGTTTTCCATAAAACTTCTGAGGTCTTTTATAGCACATACTAAAGGTTCTAATAACACACCCTTACCTCTAGCATCTCCACCTGCTACTGTTGCCCACTTCTATACTGGATGCCAAATCTAACAGTCATCTCTGCTGATTCTAGCATAGTTGGGTATGCCCTTAGAAGATAAATAATACAGAAGAAAACCACACCTGAAGGTCACAGAAAGAAGAGATAGCCCAGAGGCTCCTACACACCTTCTGTCACAGACGCTCTAGAGGCACAGTCTAGCTCCCTGGAGAAATTTGGGCTCTTTACTCTAAAGAAAATGAAGAGAATGATGAGGTGCAGGGTCCAGCTGACCTTCTGAGAATTCGGCTTGGCAGGCATTATCATGAAGACTCTTTCTCCAGGTTTCTGGAGCATCTAAGGATGGAGATAACATATTTCAATTTGGCCACGCCAACCAGAGTCACAAATTTAATATATCTTTTTTGGCTTGGTTTGGTTTGGTTTGGTTTGGCTTTTCAAGACAGGATTTCTCTGTGTAACCACCCGAGCTGTCCTGGAACTCACTCTGTAGATTAGGACATTAGGCTGGGCTTGGATTTGTAGATTATCAGCATGCCTCTGCCTATCGGGTGCCACTACACACAGCCATTTAATACATCTTTAAGGAGAATTTTAAGTTACTTTTATTGCTTATTTAGGCATTTCTATTTGTTCCTTCTGTCTCATTTAAGCCAGTATCAGTTACCACCTTCAAAATATTATTAATCTTTTATTCATGAAGCCAAAAGTCATTTCTACGAGCCAAAAAAAAATGGAACCAAAAAATGTTGGACTTAAAAATGACAAATGTGTTTCTACTTTGTAAAACCTTAAAGGTTTCTCTGTGACTCAGGTCAATAACTAATTGCACCCCCTCAAAGGAATCTGTACTTGATAGAAAATAATCACCATTTCACCAGAGGGTACGGTATTTGGTTTTAGCCACCTGTACCTCCTTGCCTCTCTGCCTCACCCTATTTCACTAACAACCTTTTGCTCTCTCTCTTTGAACGTAGAGTTCATTCAATTTAGAAACCCAAACCAGCTGGTATCAAGCAAAATATATGCTAGCAGAAAAGAAGCCCTCAAAATAAGTAAGGCACAAGCTGAGCTATAATCTGACACAGAGAGAAATGTTAAATAAATAATGTTGTGCCCAATAATGCCCACTCCCACACCTCCCTGATCAAGACCCTCTGTGCCCACTCCCCAACATCTGGTAGCATGTACAAAGACAGAGGGGCAGGATTCTTACATTTCCCTAATGTTCCTTGCTCTTTCTCTGGCTTACATAATTCTAGAATATTCTAACTCTAGAATCCTATTGGATGAACATACTATCCCAACCCATGCCTCCATCTTCCCTTACGGCTGACAGTACATCTCATCTCTTACCTTTATCGATACTGTAATAGATGTATGCAAACTTTTTTCCTGTTGGTTTTGCCCATTGGAAAATCCCTAGAAAGTAAAATTAATTGTTATTCTTTTATGTATCCCTCAGAGCAACTGGCAATTATATTAGGCAAAGTAAATGTTCCAAACACATCACTTTCTCTTTAAATACTTGTGTGAGTAAATAGAAATGCATAACTTCCAAAACAAAATAATTAAGCTTTCAGCTAATAATAATCAGTGTTTTCTAAAACATAATGGTGTATAGTAAATATATATTATTTATGAGATACTGGAAAAAATGCAAAGTCAAAGGAAACAAGAAAATCACATTTTGGCCTATTTACATCAAAACTTTTGTCATGTATGGATGTATAATGGGTGTTCTAAAAGTCATTATTTTATAAAATATCCTCTATTTTTCTCTTCATATTGTATAATCAATTTCTACAAAATTAAAATATTTAAAATCTCATTCTTTTGTCTCTGAAGTATTCTGAAGTTTATTATTTAGTTCTTTCATTGCCATGAATAAACACCTGACAAACACAACTTATGGGGGCCAACAAGACTGCTCAGTGGATAAAAGCTACTTGCAGCTAAGCCTGAAGACTTCCGAATGAATCCCAGGGACCACATGTTGGAAGGAGACTCTCGCAAGTTGTCCTCTGACCTCCAAACATGTACCATGGCATACATATCTACAGAGGTAGGCATACACACAAGCACACACATATCAATAAGAAAAATTATAATTTAACTTATAAGTAGAATGAGTCAAGCAGAAGACAGAATATACTTGAAGATAAAGTAAGCAATCTATAGAAAATATAAAAAGAACGTGAAATTTTGTGAAGCAAAGGGAAGGAATATGCAGGAAATGTAGGACATCATTTTAAGAGCAAGTCTTGAATTATAGGAATAGATCACAGAGAAAAATTATAAGTCATTGACATAC